CTAGGGATCCCATGCCAGGCTGGCTCATCCAGCTCCAGGCTCCTGGGGCCTCAGCCCTCACTCCAGGTCTTTTCCTTGCGACACCTAATGATTTATGACCGACCCACAGCTCCCACACCATCTTGTTAGCAGCGATCCTTGCCTGGGGCTTCTCAGACTTCAAATGCGCACACACATCACTAGGGACTTGTCAAAATGCAGATTCGGATTCCTTAGCTCTGGGGCTGGGGCCCGAGAGTCTGCATTCCTAACGAGCCTGCAAAATGCCCAGCGAATTTCAAAAATCAGATCACTTCAATGGAACAAGGAAGAGGACGATTTAAAGGAATCCTATAGAAATCCTTGTACAAAGCAAATAAAAACTCTATCTTCATCGGTCAAACCAACCCAGGATTTTCAATTAATGAGGTTGTGCCTAAGTTGGCTGCAGGGTTTAGTAGGAAGAACACTGGGTGAGAGCCAGAACACCACAGGTTCAAATCCCAGCTTTGCCACTTAGAACCGTGGACTGTGGAAGTCCGTTCATGGCTCTGAGCTTGGGAGCCTGTTCTGTAAAACGGGACGAGGACCGTGTGCACGTAAAGCCCCATCACGGTGCCCGGGAAAGGCCCACATCCTGTTGTTGAATCAGGGGTCAGAAGGGGTGCCCTTGTTCAGGCAGCCCTTAGATCATACCCCACATTCTCCACCAGCAAGGCTCTCCCTGCTCCATCTGCGGTGGGCATGGAGCTGGGCCTCGGAGGGAGCCAGGGAAGCAGGTCAGTGTCACTGCCCGCCTCCCTCCCTGGGGGCTGCAAGCTTGTGGAAGGCTGTGCTGGCCTGAGGCTCCTCCCTGCCATGGGGTGTATGTGTGGGGGGGGCTGCTTTGATCAGGGGCTCGCAGCAGGTGGCTCATGGAGCGGTTGGGACAGGAGCCCTCTCGGAGCATCATCGGGTGGCCCTCCAGGGGCATTTGTGTGTGTTTCCTGACAGAGAGCACAGCTGCGTCTCACTCTGCCCTGCACAACAATGGGGAAGGGGCCGAGTCCAAGTCTCCTGGCTTGGGCCCCCGAGCTCAGGGGGTGGACAGCTGCCCCCCATACATGTGGCTCACATGCCTCTGGGGCAGTGCGGGGAGACGCCTGAAACCTGTCATGGCCCATGGGGACACCTTAAGCCCAAGCCTGGCCCTTCACACCAGCCAGGAATCTGGCCCCCAGTGAGCCCACCTCCTCTGCCCTTAGAATAATGTGGGAGAACCAGAGGCCATGACACGGCTGACTGGGAGGGCGCAGTAAGCGGCCCTGGACGCCCACCACCCAACGAGATGACCATTCGGCCATTCGAGTCCCTTTCCTCCAGGAGGCGGTGCTGGCTTAGGGGGGACCAACACGAGCTCTGGACAAGAGCTCTCTGGGCTTCAACTTGGGGGCTGCCTCTGAGTGTCTGGCCCCGGGGCAGACTGCTTAACTTCTCTCTTTGCCTCACTTGCTTATCAGTAAAATGCGGGATAATGATTAGTACCTCCTACATCAGTGTGTCTGTGACAGAAGAAAGAGAAGCATAAAGCGAGCTCTCAGCAGAGTCTACAGTTGGCATTAAAAAATATGAGTTATTGATGGGATCTCTTGGAGGGGAGTGCAATGGGGGTCTCTTGTGGTCCACACAACCCCCCTTCCCCGCTGCCACCATGACCATGGACATGACCTCAAGGGAGGGTCTGCATGGGAATGGGGGCTGGGCTGCTGTGATCCCAGCTTCCCGAGGGCAGTGACCCTGACGCAGAAAGCCTTGTGTCTGCTGTGGGCTCTCTCCGACGTGGGGGAAGAGGCCTTTTTTTTTTTTTTTTTTTTAAATGCCCAAGAGATTCACCAACCAAATCAGATGGGAAATGGCTTTGGGAATTATGATGCGCCCTCGCCGTCATCACGTGGTCCTTCATGTAATCCTTTATTCATTCCACAATTATTTATCCAGGGCCCACAGAGCACCAGCCAGAGGAGTACTGGATTAAGATGGAGAAGATTTGGATTCAAGTCTTATCTTCGTGACTCATCAGCGGCGAGACCTTTCTTATCTGTGAATTGGAGAAAACGGTCGCTCCAGGCACATTCCGGGGGCGGAGCGCGGTAATCTGTCCCTGCAGAATTTGTGAGATTGCGAGCGCTTCCAGGAGACCAGTCCTCACAGCTTTGCCAGCAGTCCAGTTTACAAAACACTCCTACGGACCTTCTAACAACGGTCCGGGTTTCTGCTTGGCAGTCTCTGCGTTCTCAGAGTTTTTCCAATCCTTCATTTGAATTCTGTCCATAGCGCAGTTTAAATCCATTTCCTTTTCTGTGGGCCTCAGAAGTAGAAACCGGTATCCCAGGATCCTCAGCCAATTCAGGCTTCTTCAGAGGAGGACGGCGTGCTGGAGGGGTCCTTTCTGTGATGACATGGCCGATGGCAAGAGCTCGAAGTTATCAAGCTCATAGTTACTGAGGTGCTCAGCTTTTGCTGCTGGTACCTCCCCGAGGCCCAGCGACCCCACCAGGTGGTCCCCACGGGCCCCGTGATCCTGGAGCTCGGCGACACCTGGTGCCCTTCCAATGGCTTCTTCCAGGACCCTTTAGAGCTGGTGACTGGTGGGTCTGGGCTGGGCACGTGCAGGGACTCCTCCAAAGCCCGTGTGTGATCCTCAACGCCCCTCACCCACCCCTTCCTCTAGTCTACTTCCATTTTTGCTGTGCCCTTAAAGAACAAGTGCCAGCCCCGGATTCAAAAGAAACCAGAAACCCTGCCACTATGAACAGAGCCGCATGCACCCCAGTCAGCCTCCAGCTGGGTGGAAAAGAAGGTGACAACTGGGAAATGACTGGGGACCACAGCCACAAACCTCTCTCTGGCTTCCAGCCAGCCCGTCCATGGGTTATTATCCTTCTGGGGCTGAAATTCTACCTTCTGATGATCCCCTATGTCATCTGGGGATTCACCCTCAAAACAACTGTCTTTGTCGATCTGGCAGCCAGGAAGCTCAAGACATAGGTCCCTTTACTGCCTGGGGAAGCTGGGAGGGGGTCAGATCCCCTGGGCCTCAGTTTCCCCACTGGACCACCAAGGAAAATAAAGCTCTTTTTCACTTGTGCTTGAGGCTTGTCTCCAAGCCAGTCTGTAGTGAAGGGCCTCATGTATGCATTCGAGGCAGCACACAGCACAGTCTCTGGCCAGTCTACCTAGGGCCTTCCTGATGAACCGTTAAGTCCTGGCAGGACAGGAATGGTGTCTGCCAGTGCCCTCAGATGCCTCTTTCACTCTCCGCTGCCCAGGCAGCCCTCCGTGGAGCCCATCAGCAGCATGCCTGGCTAGGAGAAACAAGGCCTCCGGGCACTGTCCTTTACATTTCCTTTTAAGCCCCCTGTCTCTCTAGTTTGTAAAAATAGCAAGTAGCATCTACCAAAAGAGAAACGTACTAACTGGAAGGCACTGAGTTGGGGGCAGGCAACGGTGTGGGGAGAGGGGGCGGTGGGCAGTGCAGAGAATGCGGAGGAAGGGGTCCCGTGCTATTCCTACATGCTTATCTCCCCGGTACCATTTTAAAGATTTTATTTATTTATTTGACAGACAGAGATCACAAGTAGGCAGAGAGGCAGGCAGAGAGAGAGGAGAAAGCAGGCTCCCTGCTGAGCAGAGAACCCGATGAGAGGCTCCATCCCAGGACCCTGGGATCATGACCTGAGCTGAAGGCCAAGACTTTAACCCACTGAGCCACCCAGGCGCCCCTCCCTGGTACCATTTTAATGCCTGAGCTGACACGTCCAACTTACAGTATGCAAAGAAACAGCATTTTCACTTCAGATGCATATGATGGCTAGGAACAATATGAACAATATTATTTTAGTGCCCTGGGGAAAAATTAGCAAGTCAAATATTGAATCAGGCCTGTAGCACGACATGCAAGCCAGACTGCTTTGATCTTATCCCCACTAAAAGCTCTATTATTGAATTTAAAGTCAGTGAACATATATCGGACCAATATACAATGCACATCTGAACGCACATTTCGGAAGCCAGGAATGCTCTGACTAAAGGGAGAAAATATCAAAGTTACAGCTACAATTGAAACACAAATTTGCTCTGCCTCTTCTCATGGGGCTGGAGGCTCTGCTGGCTAACCAAAATATTTTGGCCCCAAAGGGCCTGATGACTCCAGGAACACCTGCTGAGCTCCCACGTCTCTGGCGCCAACAAGGAAGGGGTTTCTTCCCCACAGATTGAATTTGAAGGAGTTAGAGACCTCCCGCAAACCAATGTGCACGCTGGCGCCCTCTGGTGGCCACTTCTCTGGGAGGCCTACCTGTTTAGGGGGCCTTCCCAGGAAAAGTAGCTTTTAAGAGCCAGAGGGATGGAAGAGGGTGCTCCTGAGGGTAAAACCAGCGAGTTGATGGGAAGGGGAGGATGTTAACTACCCAGCAGGGCCCAAACGCACAACGAACTTGGGTGGTAAACTTCCTTCCCAAGAGATAGCCCTCAAAAATCCAAACCAAACAGCAAACTCATATCCTAAGCCGCACGTCAGCAAATTATAACACAAAGGCCAACTATGGTTCCCCCGCTGGCTTCTATGTAGAGCCCAAGGGCCAAGAAGGGTTTCTATACTTTCAAATGGTAAAAATATAAACAGATACATAAATATTTTGCGGCATGAGAATGACACAAGATCAGCGTCTGTGTCCATCTGCACAGCTTTATGGACCCACTGCAGTATCCATGCGGGACTGTCCGCACACGTTTCTGCTGCGGCTTTGGGATGCTGTGACCATCAGCTGCATGGCCGGAAAAGCTGGGGATATTTACCACTTGGCCCTGCTGCGAGAGTCTGTCAACTCTTGCCGTTCACAGGACTGAACCCTTAGAGTCTCGTCCCCATGCCCACCCTGCCCAGCTTCTCGTGTGAGGATGTGGGCTTTGGAAGTCTGCAAGACAAAGCCGGGCACACCGAGGGGAGGGAAGGCATCGCAGTGCGAGCCCTACAAACTTACCATTTTATTATTGATTTCATGGAAATGAATCTCACAGACTTTCTCCACAACATCTTCATTCTCAAACGTGACAAAGCCAAACCCTACAGGAGAAAGGAAAACAAAACAAAAACAAAAACAAAACAGAGGGGGTGGTGAGTTCGGTTCCAGCCAGCCACATGTTTGTCTTTGATGTCCTGCAGCAGGGACAAGGCTCCTGATCTGAGGTGGGGGGCCGGATCCCTGGGAAGGGCCTCCAGATTGGGGAAATGATTTCTAATTTGTACTGAGCACCCTTCTGACAGCGAGGAAAAGTTAATGATTTCACCCACACGCAGCGGGCACTGTGTGGCTTACATCTGCCCTGAAGCAAACAAGAAATTTACTTGTCTGTTATTTACAAGGGTCAGAGCCCTGCGGCTCTCCACGCTGAGACTGGCGGGCAGACGACCCCGTGCTCCAGCGGGGATCACCATGGGGCCACACGTGCCCTTTCCGGGCTGGAATGGCCAGCCCTGGGGTCGGCCTCCAGACGGAGGTGGTTATTTGTCCTTTTCTTCCTGAATTACTTCCTCTAATACCTCATCAGGACATCCTGAGGCCTGGAAGAAACTATTAAAAGTTTCAGGCCTCTGTTCTACACAGGCTTCCTTTTTTCTACCGCTGCTTCCAAAGCGCAGCGGATCTGGGGCAGTTTAAGACTGTTTGATGCCTGCTGTCAGCCCGTCAGCCATCCACTGTATTTACTCGGCTGGAGACGGGCTTTGCTAGACAAGCTGTACTGAAGAATTTTGGCAGGCGACCGCTGCTCAGCATCCTGAGTTGCTCTCACTACCCTCCTGCCCCTCCCTTTCTTCTCCTCCCGCCCAGGACAGGGTTCCAGCACGCCGCCCCATCTGTGGCCCCACTCAGTAAGCACTGCTTTACCACACCGGCCCGCTAAAGGGACAGCACTAACACCACAAGGAAACACACGTGCAGCAGGTGCAGACAGACGCCCAGATGGGAAGGCAGCAGACTGGACTCAGCACATATGAACTTATGTGGCATGCTGGGAAGCCCCCTCCCCACTCTGCACCTTGAGCTTTGCACCTACAGATTACGGTGGTGAGACCGACCACCCAGCTTGCAGCCCCAATCAGGATTTGCAAGGCTCTTGGCTACGAACTCAAGGTTGTGTCCCCCCTCCCCCAAACAGCCCCAATTCCCACCCTGAAATCCTGACCCAGGGTGATGGCTTCAGGAAGCAGGGCCTTGGGGAGGAAAGGGCATCATGGGAGTGGCCACCTCATTAGTGCCCTCAGGAAAGACACCAGAGAGAGGAAGCACGTGCTTTCTCTCTCTCTTTTCTGCTGGCTGAGGACACAATGAAAAGATGACTATTCTGCACGAGGAAGAGGGCCTTCACCGAAACCCTGACCATACTGGCACCCTGACCTTGGACTTTCAGCCTCCAGAATGGTGAGAAATACATTCCTGTTGTTGATAAGCCTCCCAGTCTATTGTCCTTTGAAATAGCAGCTCAAATTGACCAAGACTCTACAGTCCCCAAAGACATGAACCTGGCCCCAACCAGGAACAGGGAAGTCAGAATGGCTACTTTGTATTAGGATAGCATTTCCCATCAATGAGTTTAAAACAACAGAAAAATACAGGTCTTTCCTCTTCAAGCTTCTGTGTCAAGTGTGGGTCCTGGAAACCCAGGGTGGAGAGATAATCTGGTTCCTTCCGTGTCTCTCCCCTCTGGCTGTCCTACCACCATCTCTGAGGAACAGCAGAGAACAGGCAGCTGATACCCTGAGCAACTCCATCATGGCTCCTGCAGGATCTAGAACATTCTTAGGGAGAGGGATGGACACGGCCACTCGCTAGTCTTAAAAAATGTCCAACAAGGGGCGCCTGGGTGGCTCAGTGGGTTAAGCCGCTGCCTTCAGCTCAGGTCATGATCTCGGAGTCCTGGGATCGAGCCCCGCATCGGGCTCTCTGCTCAGCAGGGAGCCTGCTTCCTCCTCTCTCTCTGCCTGCCTCTCTGCCTGCTTGTGATCTGTCAAATAAATAAATAAAATCTTACAAAAAAAAAAAATGTCCAACAAAACAGAGGGCCGGGACCAGCACACGAATGGCAGCCACAGTCTTCACTAGGATACGTGCTTTATTACCACACACCAAACAGGGGGCCCAACAAAATCCTTCCACCAGATATACAACCAGCCCCATACCAGGTCCCTGGAGAGGGAGGAACGGCGCCATCCTCCAGGTTCCCTCTGTCAGAGCATCTCCTGCTGTTTGGCCCTCAGGTCTATGGACTGCGAACTGAGCTCTGGGAGAGCCACACCAAGAGGCGGTCTCCCCAACGTTTCTCTTTGCACTTTAGTGTGCTGGCTTCCCATGCCCCCTTCAAAGGAGTGTGAAAAACATCAGGTAAGTCTCTCGCCCAAGCAGGGACCCCATCAGCATACAGGGGACTGGCATCACTTTGGTTAACCCCTCCCTTCTGCCCACGTCCTACAGCCCAAATCCTAGGTGCCCCTCAAAAAAGGGTGAAGACGCAGGGCCCTTCAAAAGGTCCTCCGTGAAGGGTGGGGCGGCACGGCAGAGGATGGGGGGATCCGCTAGCGCGGGCTTCATAGGACCATGGCAGGGCTGGGTCCCCAGGATTCACAGAGCCCCTAACACACAGAGCGTGCCAGGTTGCCGACGGCTGAATGAATGAACATTTCTGCCCCTCTGGGGTCTGAGTATCTTGCTTATCCACCTGTACCACCGCCTCCCCTCAAGACGGACTTGGCCCTTCCTTCTGCGTTTACAGGCTCCCACCTGTGCTAGGCATCCTGGAGGGCACAGAGATCAGTAGGACAACGTCCTTTTTCTGAAGCAGTGGGCTCCCTGAGTGGCACAAGTCAGAGGTTCTCACCCAAGGAGAGCATCTCCTCGCCCTTCCCTCCCTTCCAGACTTCGGGTCAGCCTGAGATTTATTTATCTCTGCAGGTCACCTCTCTAACCTGTATCTAAACCCAGTTAAACATGAATCCCTAAACCAGCCTGGACATGTTGGTACTCAGGGAAAACCTCACTGCTAATTGGGATGAGTGTAATGACCTGAAGCGTGGCGCCCCAAAGCCGTGTCCCCATTCTAACCCCTGGACCCAAGGAATGTGACCTTCCTTGTTTGGAAAAAAAGGGTTTTTGCAAATGTAATGAAGTTAAGGATCTCAAGAAGGAGGGCGAACCAGAGCCAATGACAGGCACTCTGAGGAAAGAAAGGAGAGGGGAAATTTGAGACCTAGAGGACAGAGAGGGGGGGAAGGACAGAGAGGGCCAGAGCCACTAGCCCACTCCCCCACGGGTGGGTCACACGTGACCTCCCCCAGCCAGGCCCAGCAGGGCAGAAGGCAGGAGTGTGTGGACAAATGAACCCAACCCATCCGTGCCATCAGGAAATAACAGGAAGTCAGTGCCAGTCAAGGGCACAGCTCTACAAGCCAGAGGACAGCCTGGTTCAGAGCCAGCTTGCTGCTGAGCACAGGTCCTAGATCCTGGAACGGTGCCCAGGGTAAGTCAAGTCACCGTGGGGGTCACGAGTTGAGATGACGGCCACGGGAGCTGCTTTCCTGCGGTAGCCCACGCCTTCCCAGTCTACACTGCAGATCCCTGTCTGAACTCCAGGCACAGGACCATTCAGGACCCCCTGTTGCCCCAGTTTCTCAATCCATGCCATGTCTCTGAGCTGGGCGGAGGCGTGCCAAGAGCTGGGAGACAGGAATCTAAATGCAGACTGTGGACCAGGAAGGGCAGAGGCAACACTTGCCCCATCGTTTCAAATTCTGACTCTTACATCTCCCTGCGGGTCCCTTCCCTAACCCCACAGGACTCTAAATTTGAGTACCACAAAAATGATTTTCCTGATCAAAGGAGAGAGCCTGGATCTCAAGCCTATGTACCTTGGACGCAAAACAATTCAGCGATGTCAAGACTCATTTGCAGTATTTTAAAGACCTCTATCGTTTCAACAGCCCTGTCTGTTTGGTCCAAATAGAGAAAACAAACTTGATTGTGTCTAAAATATTTATGTATTCCATTTGAGAAAGCGAAGAAACCATGAAACACTTAATTATCAATAAATGTTATTCCTTAACATATAATCATTTTCCCCTCACAGGTGCATTATAATTTACAACAAATTAGTAACTCAGTGGAGAACCGCCCCCAAATAAAATAAACAGGAGGGTAAAAGACAAGACAATGGGGTCAGGAATTTGGGGGAGGAGAGGGTGGTGGGTGGGAAAAATCCTTTCTCGGCATCGAAGTCTCTTTTTTGAAATTGATTTAATTGGGTAAAATGTACATAACATAAAATTTATCACTGCAACCTTTGTTCTTTCTTTTTTTTGGTGTACGCTTAGGTGACAGTAAGCACATTCATGATATAGTGCAATGATCACACTATCAATTTCCAGAACTTTTTTTTTTTTTTTTAACCATCCTGAACTGAGACTCTGTACCTAGCAAGCCACAGCTCCCCATTCCTCCCTCCGCCAGCCCCTGGTAACCTCGGTCTACTTTCTGTCTCTAGGAATTTGCCTCCTCTAGGCACCTCAGATGAGTCGAATCCTACAGTATTTGCCCTTTTGTGTCCGGTTTATTTCACTCAGCATATTTTTCCAAGGCACTGTAGTCTTTTGAATGGCCTGCCGGATGTATGGATTCTTCCTGAAACTCAGGACATCTGATTCTTCCTGAGAAGGGGCAGGAAGGACTTAAGATTTTCTTCCCATTTTTCCAAAGGAGAACCCCTCAGAGAACCAGAAATGGAGCCTCACGAATGCCCACCAGAGGCATAGCAGCCAGGTAAAAGAAACACAGGATTATCCTCACTCGAAAGAAAGAAAGAAAGAAAGAAAGAAAGAAAGAAAGAAAGAAAGAAAGAAAGAAAGAAAGAAATTAAAAAAAAAAAAAAGAAGAAAGAAAGAAAAGCAAGGACCAAACCAAATAATGAGCTGTGTGCTCTGGGCCTCTAAAAGCAGGCAGAACCAAAGGGATATGTGTGTGGGGATGGGGGTGGGGAGGGATCCTGCTCTGGTCCCCGCCAAGGCAGGGACTGTGA